GTTCGATTGTAATAATCTCACAAATTATTTGTGTTATGTTGTACCTAGATCGGTATTCCGCAGAGGGGTGCGCGCACCTCGGCTGTTTTATACTGGGACCTGTAGAACGAATGCGGGAGTGCGTGCGCCCCTTCGGCGACTACTGGATAATTATAACACAAACTTTGCAGAATTAGACATATTTGGGTTCTCAAAATTAAAGTTTAAAAAAATGGCAGTAGAAACATTATCAAATAGAACGGGTTGATGGAATTGGATATCATACTTGTATCTGTACCGGTTCATTGCGGTTTTTTAGTTTATTATTCCGTAGTGAGAAGATAATAAACTTCTCCTTTCATCATTAATTTGTGGACATTGGTGTGGGTTGTACACTTACCTAATTGATATCTACATTATAATTTTATGTAATATTTAGTGTATAACTGTTCTATGTTCCTAAAATAAAATAAAATAAAAATAAAAATAACCTCAAAATTTATGTGAAAAATGCGCATTACCGAGTTTTTGATTTTCGATTTAAAATATTCATTTTTTCACCTTATTTTGACTTAATATCGAAAAAGCACCCATATTTTCAATCGAAAATTCTCACGTCAAAATATCTGCTTTTTTTAAAAAGTTGGGGTGTTTTTTGTTTGTTGAAATCTCTACTTTCTGATGGTATAAAAAAAATATACACTACTATGGTAAATGTTCTCAGAAACTGCAAATTAATAATGAAAAAAACTCCAACCAAAATATTACTGTAGTCGTCTGTAAGATGGAAGTTACAGACTGACAAAACCTCCATTTCGAGAAGAAAATCCGTTATTCCTTACTTCATACAAATGCCAACTTCTGTTGTGAAATGATCTAAAAAATCTGTTTTCTGTCTCTATCTATTCTATATTATTGATTTGGAATAACAACCTATTTGTATGCGGCAAACCATGTTTGCGTTAGTTTCTGGTGTGTTTGTTATACTGCAAAATGTAATGGTTTTGCATACATCGTGCATCGATAAGAGCTCGGGGTAAGTTTTGCAAAGAAAGCGTCAACTTTAAACGAACATTCCCGACTCTATTTTGTTTTCAATAAATATGTTTTAAAGATATACACATTACTGCATTTTTACTTAAAAAATATTAAGCAAGGTTATTAATAAATGTAGTAAAAAGTCTACGGAACACCTTATGATAACTAAAAAATATGAAAAGAAAAGAAGATTTGGCATCGTTATTCGTTAATTAAATCAATCCATCAAAATATTGAAATACTCCACAAAATACTCTTCTGAAAAAATATACCACTAAATATGGTAGGCGAGCCCATGCGGGTATTTTTGGATATATTCGAGCGCGGCAGATTACCATATGGGGTACAACCTTGCACCTAGTTAAGTACTTCCACCATACCTGTTTTTTAACCAATTTTTTAACGAACGGCCATTCCTTTAGGTCGCGTCCAAAACTTCAGTCTTTTTAATAGAATCTTTTAAAGGGTTTATGTTACGATTCTAAGAACGGAAAAATATTAATCTGACGCTTTTTGCATGGTGTGGGGGTAGATAGGAAAAAAAATCGAGTGCGTGAGACATTGAAAGGGGATGTTACGTACTACCCTCCAGTAGCCCCTATTCAAAATACTGACGATTTGGACGAGTCATGGTCGTTTCTTGAAATTTTGTTTTTGCTGCCCTAGACGTTTGGCCCTACTAAGATGGCTCAGGTATACTGGGAGTACTTAACAAGGTGCAAGATTGCCCTTCCATATTTTATTCTGCCGTGATCGAGTAAATCCAATAATCTACGCTTGAGCTCCCCTTCTAATTATCAATGAGTAGCAAACCTAATCAGTTATCACTCACGTTATTTTTTGGTGAAAAAAGCACAAAACGGTTGGCTGCAATAAATTAAAAGTAGGAAGGTACCTTAGAAAAGTGACTGCCGTTTTATTATATTGTTGCCATTATAATAAACAAACAAATAAAAAGTTTCAATGAATAAAGTTAACATGACGATCAGCCTTAATGTTTTTACGATCATTTCATTGTTGTATCCCGCAATGTTTTTAACGATCAGACATTATTTGCAGCATAGTTCGTCCGTTCTATCTGAATAAAAGCTGGTGATAAACCATACTTTATATAGCTGTAAAAGGGCTCAGGTGTTTTCCACCGTTAAGCTTTATAGCCTATGTTGAATAGTGATAAGAAAAATCCAAAGTGCCTAACAATATTTTAGGAGCAAAAGTGGGCCAACTACGTGTTTCGGCTACAATAACGGGCTACAAAACTTGAATGCAGACTTACAGAAACAGTATTTATATTGATAGGAAACACCTTATGGAAAGACAAGATATTTTACAAAAATCAAGCTATTATAAATCACTTATTAATAATATAATAAAATAGACAAAATAAGACTTTGTATAACTTCGGACTGTACGTTTCTTTGCTCATGTGGTATAACTATAAAATTTATATACAACTTAATAACTACTAAGAATCCAGATTACCTTTACCTACTTAAATAAATAATTTAAAAACAGTATTATATAAATTCTGAGTACCTAAATATTTTTTGTTATGGTACCTTACTATGAAAAGAAAATAGTGTGCACGGACCGCACATCTGAAGTTAAACTTTTTTTCTTAAATAACCTAACATTAGGCGGTGCATAAGAGAATGGAGCAGCGCACGCATCACTAATATATAGGGGGCAGGGGGGTATCTCAAACACTGACTTATTACATGGACCACGGGCCGTTGGGCATTATTAATAATGGCCAGTCAAAGTGATAATTTAATCACTTTGTCCATCGCTCTTGGGCATTATTAATAATGGCCGGTCCTTATTAATAATGCCCAGTTAATCACGTTGCCCGTAACATATATATACATTGTCGCGTGTGATGCTCGTAGCATTTCCCACGCAAATAATATATACATATATATAGTCGTGTGACGCTCGTGACGCATTTCCGTTTCATCTTTCCATAGGATTTTTCCATTCAATTTCCATCCCGTCAAAAAAGAAGTTACAGTGAAAGCATAGTAAATAATCTCAACAGTATAAATTAATTAATCAATCCGATATAAAGGGATGGACCCATTGTTCTCTTTTAGAACTTCTTCTCTTTTTTTAAACTTCATGTTAATTACCATACAACATTATTTTGGGGGACAAATGTCCGCACACCGGGTGCGTTGAGTCCGTGACAAGTCCTCGGCGGACAATTTTTTCATGATACGGGGACAAAAGTCCGTGTCCGCGCAGGTCATAAAAGTTATTTACGATCAATTTTCTATTCATACAATAGGTAAGTACTACATAGTTAATATAATATTGTTAGCGCATTTTTAGGACAAAGGAAATATTTCATAAATACCTATTTATTTAAATAATAGTACCTACACTTGTTAAGTAGTATAATAATAAATATGTAGAACATAGGCATGTTGTCTGAAAAAATCACCAGAGGAAACAGATTTATATTGTGCCCTCCAGAACACGAGACAGACTGACAACCTGTCACTACACGTTATCGGTGATATGAAAATCGGGACAACATTTTGAACACGTGCCAAGTAATACTTCTGTATTACCTATCTATGTGATTACTTCATTTTTATTAAACAAAATCCCTCGCCGCGTCTGTTTGGTTCACGAATTCTGATGAGAAAAACTAGATGGGTACCGAACGGATTTTCATGCGGTTTTTGCACCAAGAGGCGCTAAGAAAGCGCGAGTCGCGAGATCATACAAAACCTACCTACAGTGCTATTCTGTAAGAACAAACTCACCTTTCACCTTTTCACCTCGAAATCCGCGGTGTGATTTAAAATTAGAACAATAATTTCAAATGAATTTTAAATCACACCAGCGGTTTCCGCGGTGCAAAGTGGGTTTGTTCTCACAGAAAAGGTAACACTGCTTATTTCTTAATTTATTAGATTCCGTTTATGATAAACGAGTACCAAAAATTTATGTAGAGGCTGTCCTGATAAACACGTGATACATACACGATCAATTCATACTTCTATAAGCTGGGGGTTACTTCCAAGGACATCCCGTCTTACCCACTATGAGCGGAACATCCTCTTTTCAATTATATTTCTTTCCTGCAGTGTTTGAGTTATATTTTTTCATATGGGCCGTTCCTTTATACGGAAGCCTACAGTTAAAGTTACATACCCTTTTTTATTGATATTACCAACGAGGAGATCCTTCACTTGTTGCCTCTGGCAGCACTGGTCGGCCTATGGGCTTGGCTGGCTGGCGGCACGCCAAACGATTGTGTACGTTTTAAACCCAAACCGCATTGAGATATTTATGTGTTGGGTTCGATAAAATTTATGTTTCGAATATGAACTTAGTGGATGGCTTTTGTTGTGGTTATTCGAGTGTAGTGTTTCTAATTTTTACACAACAGTAGAGTTCACCAGTACTAATAGTGTATTCGTGCATTACGTACGTATCCCGATATGATCACTTACACTGTGTATATAAAATTATTATGTTTACGACTTTTGTATAAAGTGGAAATATATTGCCTATGATGAAAAAAAATGTTAATATTGTGGTTTATACATCCATGGTCACTAACACTGTAGTTATTTATGTTATTAACGGGTTTGCTACCATGTACCTTGTTTATTACGAGTCCCTGTAGTAAGTGCCATGATCACGGTATAACTCCGTGCCGAAATATCAGGGACACGTAACAAACAGGGTACATGGTAGCACGTTTAATAACATAAATTACTATAATATCGTAGTTTCAAATTTGATTATAGAAACGTGCTTCATCATCATCATCAGCCTATTAATGTCCCCGCTAATGGGGCAAAGGCTGGAATATGGATGGAATAGGGAGATTGGGTCGAGCTTATATAGGCACAAACTAAAAAAGGTACTTAATACATTCTGATATGTTTTTGTATAACTCTTGAAGTGTTTAACCAAGTAACTTTTTTGATGATTTCAACTATACAAGACAATTTTGCACCGTTACATAATTAAAAAATAATTCATGTTATCAATTACGTACTTAATTAGTTCCTTCCTTTTTCGCGGTGAAATTAGGACAAGTAAGTAACAATTAAGAATTTTCATTTATTTTAAATTAATGTGTTGTCCACAATGTGATATATCAGCATAAGATGCATTAAGTGTTAAATGGTTAAATAAACAACGCATTGTAAAATTTGTCATTCTTTCAAGGTTCATTTGTCGTTAGAAAAAGTCAAGGTTCGCAGTTGCTTAACACTAATGATTATTTACTCATCAATTCTGATTAGAGGATTTGAAAAATGTAGAGACATAAATATAATATTACATCTAAAATAATTTAATCAAATTACATTTACTTATCAAAAATATTTATAAATAATTTTAAAAACTACGCAGTCTTTCAATTACTATCATATTTTTTTTAAATTCGTTCATTAATTAATATTGGTGCTGTCGAACTGTTCATAGAACTCCTTCGCCGATTCCAAAGCGGTTTGTATAAACTTCACGTCACAGGGATTTACGTCGAAGAAGTAAGCTCCGCATTTCAGAGCTTCCGAGCAGTCTCCGTCCATGACGTTATCTTTGCAGCATCCAAGTATGGCTCTGGCGCACGGAGTTAGATATATCGGGTTGACTTTAGGCGTGTCGATGCCGCTCCTAACTCGCAGTAGGTAGCTCAGCTCTTGGATGGATAGATTAGCCGGGCTCCTGATTGTGTTCGAACTCCTGATTGTGTTCGAACTCCTATCGGCGGCGCTTCCTTTGACCTCGGCTGGGGCGCAAATTGCATGAGCGATTAGTGTCGCCACTACAGTAATCACCGCGGTGTTCGTCATATCTGAAAGTAAACAAAACCTTTTGTTAGCATACAAGGTAAGTATTTGTTTAATCTTTATTGACCTTCAACTTTTGAATATCTACAATAAGTAAGTATGCAATATCTACCCAGACATTGGCAGAATCGTCACGTAATGAGACGCAGCCATAATCACCCAAAAAATTAACTGAAATTGCAATATGATAGCTGATAGCTAGTATCCGGAATTTCATCAATTTAAAACTTTCTAAGTTTTTGGTATATTTTGTTATCCTAACTAAAACTCAATCCTATTACAGAATCATTCCAATTTTATGGTGACCAGGTATAAAAATAAGATATTTTTTTACTTGATGAAAAATGATCCCTAGAGATTAAAAGTCTAACATCGATCGGTATGATGCCACTCTATTCAAGTTGAATGCGACATTTATGTACTTAAATAAACACAAAGCAAGAAATGAGTCAAAGCGGCAACATACTGCTTTAACTAATTACTACATTTTTTCACTATGTTGTAATCGTTGGTTATGCAGCTGTCATTTTTATGCAATAAAATTACTCAAAAAATAACAATGGTCTTTTCAGTCATTAAACTCAATTTTGTTCCAAATCTTATGCGATTCAACTCCGATTGTTAAAGTGAGACCATGTCTAATTGCAACTTAGAGAGAGTGGTCAGTGGCATCCCGGTTCCACCGCTTCTTTTGTATCGTGTTTTTTAACATTCTATAACAATTACATACACTTTTTTCTATGAAAAAAAAAAGGTTTGGTTTGTAAAGCTAACTACCGCACCGAATTGATGACATATACATATATTGTGTAATTTGATTTGTCTCTAGGTGGCAATGGCCTTCGTAGGGGGATATAACTAATATTTAGATTTTTCAATTCAAATAAAACGCTTTTATTACACTCTCACTCACATTTTCTGATCAGAACAACTATACCATATATTGACATAGTTCACCTAATGTTTACTACAGTTACAGTTTACATCTAAGTTATTATGTTCAGTACCCCAAGCACGAACCATTATCGAATTCGAATAGTTTGCGAGTCCAAACTGTCATTGTCAAGTTTTGTATGAAAACCGTAGTAGGATCTAGTCTAATTAAGTACAACAGAACTTAAATTGCCAAAACGACTACTAAGCTGAATACGAAGTCATTAATTTAAATATAATTTTTATTAGATTACGTAGAAATAAACATATCCGATTCGCTGTTATATCATTAAGAGATAAAAATTTAGATGTTACGTTATCTGCAACTGGATTTTATACAAAAAATCAAATTTCCAACAAAATTATAATCTATAATTTTACGCTTTTGGGACAATAGTTCTTCGTCTCAATATTGGTACAGATAAAAGAAGTTTGTACTGTGCCATTTTCACTTGACCCGGAATCACTTCAACTCGCACTCAACGGCTTAAATAAAACTTCATAACATTATCCAGATCTGAGATTGTGGCGAATCACCAATTCTTACTGGTGTACGAAAGAAACAGTACTATTCCCTTTTTATTTTTGGTCATATCTACTTTATTAGATATTCATACCGTGCAGTCCAGTGAACTATATAGTGCGCACGTGACGATCCATGTGCAACACACAGTAAAGGCAATTGGTTTTTCCAGTCGCAAACGCAAAACAGCTCCCGCGTAAGTAACACTTGGATACAGATGTTGATCAAAATAGACTTTATCACATTAGCACTAAAGTACACAATACAATTGAACGATAGTAAAAAATATCAAACATTATTAACGCACAATCAATTCTATATGCTATTGTTAATAGAACCATATTTTTTTGTGGTTCATTGGGATTATGTAGGTATGTCAAGGACATTAGGGTGTCTAATAGCTAACAAATGTATACCTACAGAGATAACATAGTTATATCATTATATTTTTAGCCAAAGAGTAAATAAATGTTGATTAAATCGTGTCACCATCAGCGTATCTATTGTATGTTACAGAAAACAGGTACTGTAAATACGGCATAAAGGTAACTAGCGGCCGCCGGCGACTTCGTCCGTGTTAACTTTAACAACTTTAGTTTTGAGAACCACAGAAGAACCTAACATTTTTCCGGGATAAAAAATTTCCTGTGTCTTATTCCAGGTCATAAACTATATGTGTGCCAAATTTCATCTATATCCGGTAAGTAGTTATTTCGTGTTTGAGTAACAAACATACAAAAAAGTCACATATAAGGATTTCATAGAATATTCTAGTCAACAAAAGATGCACAGGGGAAATATAACTTAACCTACGCCTTAATGATAACCGAAATTGCCTGCTCCTTTTTTGTTTTTTATTAACTTATTAGATCTGCTGGAGATAAATGACAATTATAGGTTTTTTTTTGGTCTCCGTTTAAATACAATTTAATGATTTATAGAAATCAATGAACAGTTCTTATCATACAAAATCTAAATAGAAACTTTATAATAATGCGCATTATTAAAATTATTATCATACCATGATTCCTACTTTCCTTAATTTTATTTGTAAAAATGTATTTTTTTATGTTGTTTATACAAATCATCTTCTTATATCAAAACTGTGATTAAAGTTATATTGAAGCGTGATGCATATCATTGTTGTAGCAAAACGTTTAAATAAAAGATTTTCCTATAAACTTAATAATTAAAATAGTAAACTCTATGTTCTATATTTTAAACTAGATAACTTCGTTCCGCTTAACAGTGGATGAAGCGCTCAAATAGATTTTTTTTTCGTTTTCGCAAAATATTTCATCGATGCTCCGCTCCTACTCGTCGTAGCGTGACGTTATATATAGTCTTTCTCGATAAATTCACTATCCAACAAAAAATTACTTTTAAAATCGGCTTATAGTTCCTGAGATTAGCGCGTTTAACCAAACAAACAAACTCCTCAGCTTTATTATATATATAGTATAGATACTAGTCACTTACTTAATAAATTTTAAATTGTTTATTTCCTCAGTTATCCGGTTATGTTGATCCACTACTTTAATTATCCTTGGCACAGAATAAACAGCTATTTTACACAAAACGTCCGCTTCTCGACTGGTCTGTAGGCTGTCTGAATGCCAATGTTTATAATACTGACATTCATATAGTCACAAAGGCAGTGTTTAAATGCCAGTTTGTATTTTAAAAACGGAAAAAGTTGTTTTTATATTTTTTTTTTGCGCGTCTGATACAACTTGTGCGATTATTCTTTCTCAGTATAAAGATCCACGTGGGTTTTACCAGACGCATCATTAGATCTCGGCGCGTAATAAAAGAAAACGTCATGGTAGCGCTCATTGATAACATTTTGATAATAGGACTTTGGTATTTTATGTGTGTCTCGGGTATAAAAAGTCTCAGGGGTCCCCCCCCCCCCTGGTTTCATCAGGTACAAAATTAGTTTTAGGTTTTGGGAGCAATTTGGTTTTAAAATTTTACATAATTGTCATTTTATTAGAGTGATCGTCGAAAGTCAACAATTTTGTTGGCATTATACAGTAAAAAAATATGATGCGTTATGTTTAAATTAGATTGTTAATCTTTTATGGTAACAACATATTTAGGGGTCTAAAATGGCTAAATGTTATCCACACTAACATTATAAACGCGAAAATGTGTCTGTATATTACCACGCTTAAATCTTTAAACCGATTTAATGAATTTAGGTATATTGAGTCCTGTGTGATTTCTTGCTCTTTGATATTCTCCTAGCAGAATTTTCTCCATTAAAGAGTCATCCATCGCCTTTTGTATTTCTTTATTGCAGGTTGTTAGAGTTCCCCAATCTTTTGTCGTTTTGAATTTGTTAAACAGCCTACGTATTTACTCTCTTAGCTTGGAATTCCACTATATTAATTTGGTAGTTCTCTTGATTTCCAGAGGGTAGCTCTCTTCATGGGAGGCTGTTATAGCTTCAGTAACTTTTCCGGAGGCTTTCCCTGTACCATTTCCAGTCTGTGGCTTTAATGCCCCTGGAAGTAATGGTTTCGCACATCGACATGTTCTGCGCGAATACAATTAGTAACTGGTCAGACATAGAAGTTTCATTGCTAACCTAGCAGTCGTTAAGCATCCTGGCTAGATTACAACTAGCTAGGTCGAGAACTTCTCTTGATTTAGTCACGAACGTCGGTTTACACCCCTTGTTGTAATCTGGAGGCGGTGAGCAATAGTTAAATGATGTAGTAACTCACCTCTTGCGTTGCTACCTGTGCTGCCCCAGCTGGTGTGATGTGCGTTTGCGTCGTATCCGATGAAGAGCTGGGCGTTGTGGTTGTTTGCGTATTTTATCACTTTCGCTAGCTCCTCAGACGGGCCGCTCTTGTCACCAAAGGGATAGGCAGAGCACACTAGAAGGCACCCGTACCCACACCTGATGTTTACGAACGCTGCCACCAATTCATTAGTGCATGGACCTGGTACATATGAGACATCAAAATTATTATTAAGTAAGATTTAATATGCTCTTCGCTTGATTCCGACATGACACTTTACTATGTCAATACTACTACGTACATACCAAATAATAGTACTAATTACAATAAACCTGCCGTCGCCGGGCTGACAATATTCTGTGACCGGAAGCAGAATTTTGTCAGCAGCAACTTGTGAACGTAAAATGTATTACACCGCCACTTGACTTGACGTCCAAACGGAGCAGTGTGCGCTAAGCCATATTTATTGTTGGGTTTTCGATACTCTTGATATTCCTTGGTTAAAAAATAATCGATATCTTTAAAAATATATTTTCTATTCCTTTTATGTTAAAGGACAATGTTAAAATTGGCCTAAGAACCAACACCAATTTGGCATTTATGATAATAATTCTTAGTATAATTTTTATGTTAATTATCAGTATTTAGATTATGACGGACACTTCCAGTTAAGTAAGCTTAATTAAAAAGTTAAAAAATAATCTGAGACAATAAATACCATTTTATGTGTATAATCTATGACAGCGCTGCAAACAAAACACTCTTTCTTCCTAATGCCGGCACTTCACTTGGCTATTTGTATTTGCTATTTGAAAACTTGACATCAGTCTGTCCTTTTCATGACAAACTGTTGTCAAGTGAATGGCCGGCATAAAACACGATACTCTGTGGTTATGGTTTGCATTCGTAGTAATCTGTGGCATTCGTACATTCTCGTTTCGGATTACCTGTTGTGTGTGTTTATTTTCGATTGTTTTTCCTTTAATTTAACTATTTCGGCTATCTAATATGCCATCGATGATACCAAAGAGCAGAGACCTTATTACCAAGTGCTAGTGAACCTGTACAATATCGTGAGAGGATTATACTGCCAAATTATTCAAGAGCACCTGATACACATTCACGCTGCATATTTACACAATATACATGTGATATATATACAAATAAATACAATATGATACAATTATGTGAAAAATGAGGAGGACGGAGAGGTGCTCGACGGCGCCAGTGGTTGGCGCATTCGGCTGCGTTCGTTGAACTTAAGCAACTTTCGCAGTGGTCGGTCATTGGATGGGTGACCAAAAATTACTATCTTGAGCTCCTCCGTGCTTCGGAAGGCACGTTAAGCCGTTGGTCCCGGCTGCATCTGCAGTCGTTAGCACCCACCAATCCGCACTGGGCCCGCGTGGTGAGTCATGGCCCAATCTCCCTATTCCATCCACCGGGAAGGCCTGTGCCCCAGCAGTGGGGACATTAATAGGCTGATGATGATGATGTGAAAAATAGTCAATAAATAAGAAGCAAAACTACAGTTTTTATTTTATTCATGATTCCTACCTAACCAAGTATTTCCTAATAGTTATTCTTTAAAATCGCACCGAATAAAATGAATTAGTTGTAATTTTAATTCACTTCATACTGAGTTCATACTAATTTCATAAGTTGACCTATGTTTGATTTAATATTAAAGATAACCTCAAAAAAAAATTAGTTTTCCTAATAATTTAAGTTCTCAGAAGTGTCCGTCAATAATCTTTGTTTTAACAGTCATTTACTTGCGATTTCGAACCTAGAAAATAATATTTCATGATTGTTGGTTCTTAGGCTAACTATGTATGGACGCAGAACTATGTCCTTTTTTAATGTTATAAAAGAATATTTCAATGATTAAATAGAACGTAAGTTACTGACTACTAGTAATCAACAATCACTCATAACCCTACATATTGCCAAAATTCTAAAGTTTGATGTATTTCACTCTTACAAGGTAAATCTAATTATCGTTTGAAGTTTAAAATAACACATAACAGTTTGGTATTTCTGTACGACTTCTTCCAAGTGGAATAAAGTTATAACTATACCATTTTTTTATGCAATACCGAGTAAATATCCCATTCTAGATGTGAATATAAATGGAACTTAGGTGCAAAGATAGTTGATACAGTTTCGGTACTTTTTAATAACAAAATTTAAGAGTTGCGTACACAAGTTATATTGCCCAAGCTCGATTTTTATTTGTCGGAAGGAACAGTGGAAGCAAATTTTTCAATTTTGTCCGTTCAACGTTTGCTAACGTGCATTTTCCTTTGAGGATTTTTATTTTCAAACGTACCTAATCCATGTGGAGTGAATTGTGTTTTTCCAATTTTCTTTTATTTAGGAATTCCGTTTCGAGTTTCAGTTTATTCTCGGCTGTATCACAATTGGATGCGAATTGTAGAATTGACTAATTTGTTGTTCTTGTGCAACCATTGAATTTTCGGAAAAGGTATTGTAGGATATTTATATCTTGTTGTTTAGTATTAGATCGGAAGATTATATATTCCTTTATTTAAGGTACATTACTTAGTAATTATGATACACTATAATCATATTCTCAATCGGAATAATAAATTATATATGTATTTACATTGAAATAACAAAAGTTTAAAGACTACTTGATGACTAAAATTTACAATCCAAATTACCTTAATCTACTTAATGTCTAAAAACTCAAAAACCAGAAATAACTAACTATACAATTTACAAAATAAAAAAAGGCTGGCAGCATTTCCTCGTTGGATAGCAAGGCTAATCCGCTGACCAAGGTAGCTGCCAGCCTTTTGATCACCGGTCGCCTCGGTGAGTCTCTTAGATAATTCCTTAAACGAGCGCTTGGACCCCATGGTCCCATAGTCTCAACACCAAACGGTTGAATATTTGCGCCGCTTGGAGCACTCGGCAGAGGCCGCCGCCGCGCCTGCAGCCAGGGAGGCACTACTTGTATGGCACGGAGCGAGCGTATCCACGCAAGTTGCATCCCATACAAGAGGACGACCCTGCTTCCAAGGAATGAGCGTCATTCCGTCAGGTCTCTTGCCATCGTCTCGAAAAATGCCGCTAGGCTCTAGGACCGCTGGCACATTGACTGCGACAAGAGCTCTGCGGATGACGTCATTGATGCAGGCGTGGCGGGAGACTCGACCAGCGCTCATTTGACATGAGAGACCATGGTGTGCCAACTCACCGACGCGAGCTCCGCAACGACAACGATGGGGGTGATTGATCCTGACGCCGAGTCTGAGTGAAATTGCTAGTGATAGAGTGCTCCTGTCAAGCAAAGTCCCGATATTGGCTGAAGGATGAGCTTGCAGCCAATAACCAGACTCTACCTGAAAGACCGCTAGGAGGCGAGCACGCTCAGCTGCGTTTTCAGAGGAAGCTACAAGATCACTCTGAAGACGCAATCAGAGTGGTTCATCCCATTGCCTCTGTGAAAATAAGGAGGATGGTGGATCTACTCCCGGGCATGCCCTACACCAAGCATTCCTGGCCTCGGCAAGGTGAGCCAGCTCCACTACGCCTAAAGAAGGACATAGTATTTTATTAAAGAGCTCGGCTGTACCATATGTTGTTTAGTTATTTTGTATTTTCATTTTATCTTTTTAGAAGGTTCTTTTAAAATAATTTATAGAGAAATTATCATATGCATATTTCAGAGTCATATTTTTATGTTTGAAACATTTAATTGCTGAATGTTTAAATCTAAAACTTTAATTGTAATTTTACTAGACAAACATCCACGCGGCCAAGTAGCAGACAGTACTCGATTCCGCACCCTCCACTAACATATTTCTAAGTTATACATCCCGGAAAAATTCTTGGGCAACGCGCATAGACAAGAAAACGCAGAAGCAATTTTACATATCAAAATATCGAGCAAAACGACAGACAAATTAACTTGTGCATTATTTGTCTGTGGTTTTGCTCAAGAAGTTTGTCGCCACCTATACCTACCACGTGGGTATAGTACATACATACCC